GGCACTGCTAGGCAGTGCTCACTGGTGTGGTTGCATTAACATGTTAATAACCCCGGCAGGTTTGGGGATAATGGCCTCGCAGGCGCAGGAGAATCGCATTTGATTTGCAGCTGGTTCACTTCATTCAGGTTGATTTTCTTATTGATCACAAACCTTTGCCTACGTTCTCCGCAGCCCTACAAAGGCTAAACAATAGTTAGCATTTGCCAGCCCCACTCCTTCCTGCTCCTCGAGGGGGCAGATCCGTCCTCTCGGTGCCGACCACCTGCACAGCGAGAAGCACCACAGAACAAAGAACAGGCAGCCTCAAAGGGAGGGCGCTGGACCCCGTGCATCCTCTTACCCACAGCTGTTATTTTCTACATTTCCTCAGAACAATTTATCTTGAGGTTATGCTGAAGAGCAGAAGCAGAGGATTCCAGGATCTCCTCTTAATCCACTGACAGATGGAGTCAAAGCACAGATGCAAAAATTCAACTGGTAGCTTACATTTTATGCACTAGCAAAAACTTAGAGAGTATATGTGAAAACATACACAAGCACTTGCTCTTTTGAGCTCTTGTTACTCCCATCAGCATTTTGCCCTGGTAAGAGTCTCACCTGGATTTCTATATGCTTTTAACTCCTCCTCTCTCCAACCAAAGACAGAAAATAACACTTTATACTATACTAATTTTCAGCACTTTTTGTGAAGCATGAAGTATCACTGTCCAACTACCGGTCTCTGGCATCTTCCCAGCTGAATATACTCAACCAAAGCCATAAGGGGAAAGTAAACCAGCAAGAACAGAGCTACAGGACAATTTAGGAATCCCAGCTACTCAGGGCACATACATCAGCTTCTACCCTTTGTTGATCAGAGAGATTATTCCTTAAATCTCTCTGCTCCCTAGATTAGCTGCACTTTCCTTTTTTCCTTTTTTTTTTTGGTCACTGAATCAAGATTTATCATAATAAGCCCAAACCTTGAAACTGGTTAATTCCTCATCCTGGGTGCTGGCTTTGCTAATGTGGCTTCCACCTCTTCTTTGCCTCTTTCTTGCCCTTGAGGTAATTTTTTTGTGTGTGTAGAATTGCCAGAGCTCCACCTCTAACCTTCCTCTCCCCCACCAAGATACACAGAAATACAAATGGCAGAGACACAGCACAGAAACTTGCACCTTTCACTCCTTTTCTATGTAAATAATGCAAGGATCCTGCGGGAACATGCCAGGGATTGGAATTTTTAATTAATGGGTCTCTTTAATGTGCAAATCAGGAGCAGATTGCAAATTCTGACTTGCATTGATTATGAAAAACATTAATTGAACGTGCAAGACCCCAAACAGAGGCAACATCTCAAGCCCTGCACCAGACTGGAAGATAGGGTGCAAGAGAATACAAATATATCTTGGAGGAACAGACCACTCCAGGCAACAGAACCTCAGAAATGTAAGCGGCAGGAGTTCGTGTGTACAGTGCATTAAACATTAAGCAGTTGCACTGTATTCAGAGCGTGGCCACTGTAATTTCGGTATTAAAAGACCATTCAGACTTTCTCCATGGATGCAAAACAGGAATAAACATGAGCTCTGTGGCCACAGTCTGGTCACCAATTTGTATGTAAAAAGGATGAAATTAAAAAAAAAAAAAAAAATCTGGAATATAATTAAAGATTAAAAAAAAATAAAGAAAAAGTAAGACAGTGCAAACAAAGCAATGCTGTCTCTTTAAACAGAAATTCATCCTATATAAATTATGGCCATAAACTTTTCCTGCAGTGCAGCCTAATTAATTCTTGTTCTATACACAAAGGGAAATGCTGGGTGACAAATGGGTGTGAAGCCTGAAAGCTGCCAGGTCTGCAAAACATTTTCTACTTCAATTTATAAGCAATTTTGCAGTAAATCACCCACCAGAACCTGAGATCTCAGGAACGCAAGATTGTCCAAGGCACGTTATATCTTTTTTATTATTTTTTTCTTATAAAAAAATAAAAATTAAACACTTGAGTTTTTGTAACCTCCAGTCTCGGAATCTAGGGAACTTGCATGGCTTTACCATTTTTGCCCACATTTGGCTATAAAACCACAACCGTACTGCACGTTGCCGTCAGCTCTAACATCACTTATGCTCCATCCCTTTGGGAACTTCTGAGCCACCACTAGCTGCACGAACAGAAAGTTGCCACGTGTGGGAGGTACCAAGGAAGCAGAGATAAGGAAGGACATTTCCCATTTCAAAACATCCCCTATTCTTACTAATGTGCAATAAAAGTATCTTGAGCAACGAAAGCATTTAGGACAAACCACCAAAATCTTTCCAGGGCAACTTTCAAAGAGATGCCCAGGGCTCAGAGGCACCAAGAGCCCTCTGTGTCGGCCCACCTTCAAGGGGCTACCTTTTAAATTGGGACCTTGCATTTTGGGTCCAACTTCTATGTGCAAACAAACCAAATCGTTTCCTCCTACTCAAAGAGGACCATGAAAACCTGCCCAATTTAAACCAAGTAGAAATATTCATTTATTTTGCAGATTTGAAAAGACATGCTGAAGCTTCCTAGAAGCAGGGTATCATCCAGTCCAGAACAGTGTCTGGATCATAATAATCCCAAATTCTCTTGGAAACTGAAGCATACAATGCAGAGTGGAATAGCCTCAACATTCACTATATGCAAGTCTTGTATTAACTCAACGTGACTGGTTAAATCTTTAAATCCTCCTCTGTACAATCCTAAGTTTTTTTTTCGCTAGGGAGTGAGATCTCATCCAAAAGCTGGTAACACAACAGGGACGACAACTCAAGAGTACAGAACTGTGTATCAGCCCACTAGATCTTCATTTACAATCAAATAAAAGGCTTGTTTTAAAAGAAGCCACTAAACCACTCAATCAGCTGAAAACTAGCACCATATTGGAAGCTGATTTATAAAAGTGAAGTGGCCCTCATAAATCAAGCTTGACTCAAGGTTCATCAACTCAAGAAACAGCTTTAAATACATTATGACATACACTCTAGAAAGGAGTTAATTTCGCCTACTGAAGTGACAGGTCACATCCATGTTATCTCGACAGGAGCTCCTTGAGCGAAGGAGCAGCCCAGCTCAGAGTGCCCCTGTGCAGGGCTCCAGCCCTGCTGGGATCATGCACCCTTCTCACAAGGCCTAATACAGCTAAGAGAGGGGAACGGGTGTCACACAACACCAAACATGTTCCTAGTCTTTCATGAGACCTCCTTGTATGATAAGTTTATTCCTCATTTCATGCTTGGTACTTTGTAACTTCTGGAACGAGCATCTTTGCATCGGAGATCGCTGCACTGGGCAATAGCACAGCCCAACAAAAATGAGTATCGTAACCTATTTACCATACCATTACAGACAGCACTAAGAAAAAGGAAATTTAAATTTGGTCTGACAGAGAATATCAGAAAACAGCAAACAAGTGCAGTGGTATCAGAATGTTCCTAAATTCATGACTGCCAGGAGTAATCCACTCCTGCATAGACGCAACCACCTCAGCCCTGACACCTCCGCATCAAAACGTCCATCCTGTCTGTCAGGCTAAGCTTTTCCACCACAAACTTCACTCACATTCCTCCAGCTCTATCTCCTTGCTGTCTTCACACATTAAATATATGAACACACATCAGCAGGAACATCAGAGTATGCCACTGCAATGTTTCCTGCCCAGATTATGGAAAGAAGATGGAGAAGGAAGTTATTAACCATGGATTTCCCTTTAACATTCTGGACAACTGAAAGATTAACCTCTCTGCTGTACAGTGTACTGTTTTAAACTCCATGTTCTTGGATGTATTTTGCTTATGGGAAATATCAAAATGTCAACCATTGTTTCTGTTAAAGGTCTTTAATGATATTGCATTTTAGACCTGTAATGAAACATGGTGCTTGGTGCAGTTTGTAATGCATCTCATTAAGTACACTAATAACATGCATTTCACTGAAAGGTCATCTTAGTATTGTCGGGAGTTTGCCTTTTTTTCCCCCCTTAATCACTTTGTTTAAAGCAGCAGAGCTAACTTTAAAGTATCTCACCTGCTGTAACTGTGGATAAGCTGATTAGCTACTGTGTGCAGAAGAGGTGCGAGCCATAAGCAGATAGTCAAAAGCTGGTGTAGGGGCAAGATTCAGGTCACGTCAGAAAGTCTCTAATCCACTTTAAGGTGACTTGTGTTGGCCTAGGCCAAAATTTTGCAATGTGAAGGTATCACTACAGCTCAAACTGCAACAACCATGAGGCGGAACAGATACCATCAGCACCAAACCAGACAGTTCAGATCACATTCCTGTCATTTTGCATGCGAGGTTATACACACAATGACAGTGTCTCATACTAACTGCATTAACAAGAGGGAGCTTCTCAGAATCCTCCAAGATATCACAGGCTGTTTCCCTAGAGAGATAAAATGCTCTGGAAAGCAAGCAATCAAACCTTTAAGAATGAGAAAGAAGAAATGAATACAAAAGCAACAGCAACTTGCTGGCAAACCAGACATTTGATCTGCCTGTTTACCTTTACCTGAGCACTGTTACAGAAATTAAACAGATCCATAACTCACTGAGGCTGAGGACTTTGCACTTGCAAGCTGTAGTGTGCATACTGTATTTGTTGTATTGGAGAATCTACGACACGTCTAATCAAGTCAATATTACTACTACTGTTCCTAAAAAATAAACAGATGAAAGAGCTCCTAGCTGAAGAGATACCTGCTGATGATTTGACAGCACAACATAAAGGATAACACTGCTCACCAACACATATTGACTAAACACACCCATGTGCATGACAGGTGGCATTGTCTTTGTGTAGAATGCCAAACTCTTTGTTTTATAAAGGACCTACTTAATGACTAAAGCAATATAAACAATAATTAACACTGATGCTACGAAAGCACAAAAGTCTAAGGCCTCACTTCCCCATTAATGTTTCTCCATGTAGCAACATTTTTGGAACATGTAGCAGTTTTTATCCAAAGAAGAAATATTAAAGAACTGTTACCGTTCTTGACAGCATTGTCAAATTCTTGTCCACCCTCCTTTTTAAAGGTTGGGTAAGTATCTGGCTGAGGAAGCCTGTTAGCTGTCAGGAGGACTTTCTGCATCTTGATTCTCCCTTCCAGTAGGTGATCCCAGAGCACTTCATAAGAAAAAGAAAACAAAACATTAATTTCACAAGCCAAAGTGCTTTTCTTTCACCATTCTATGGTAATGCTTGCAATTCTATGCATCACAAAAGTCATCTCTTTGCTCTACTGTTTAAAAAGACATCCTGCAAATGAAGGCTTGTAGTCTAATGACACAGACTGGACCTGTGTTCTGCAAGGAAATGGGGGCCCCAGCATCACTGCACAGTAGAGCAGTGTAGGAATTTCCAGTTCCCAAAGTTACAAGTATATTTGATACTGTGTCAGATAAATCAGTGAATAAATGCATTTCATAATAGCTACAATTTCTATCAGCACTGACCACAGTTTGCATAGCACACTTGGCAGAAGATTTACCAGGAACTAAGGCTGCTGTAGCTTAGACGTGCAGGGGGCCAACAGCAGCTATGCAGGAGCGGTTCCTAACGTAGACAGTTTCTCTACTGTTAGGAAGGGGAAAGCAACACTAGAATACAAGCAAGCATGTACAAACCTAACTGGTTCTTCACAGCTTTTCCCTTCTCTACTTCTTCAGTCGCTTGTTCTTTTGAGAATGTCATCACCCCTCCATCATCCTCGCTCTCTTTGGTGTCTTTTAAATTGTCATGGTTTTCGTTCTCATGCTCCTCCTCATCACTTGCTTCCTCCATGCTGGCAGCATCTTCATCTTCCCCTTCACTGCTTCCTACATCATCCATCCCCTCTGCAAATTTCTCAAAGTCTCTGATGTTCTGGGAACTGAACTTTGGTGCCTTGATCTCAGCAGATGAATCTTCTTCTTTCTCTTCTTCTTCCTCCAAATCATCTTCCTGGTCACTGCCAGCACTGCTGGGTTCCTCCTTTGCTTTACTGTCTAAACTGCCCTCGTCTTCCAAATCTTCACTGGCACTGGACCATTCATCTAAAGCTTCTTCAGCTGATAATTGAGAGAGAACAATGTAATTTAAATCCAGCAACAACTGTCACTCTGCAACATGTATCAGCAAACAGGTACTGGCTTAGGTTATCTGAGCTCCAAGCTCCGTTTTAAGTGCACAATGGGCACAATGTTCCTTTTGCTTTGGCCAACAGAAACCAATAGAAACACAGGGCCACATCCACAAATAGGTTTCAAACCACATTTTCAATTTAGTGCTGCTGTTTATTCCCTGTAACAGGGATCTAATGTTTCTCATCTCATTTCAGATAGCACTAACTCAGTCTAAGGTGCTAACATTACATTTGAAGCAGTCTTGTGAGAAGGGAAGAGAAATGTCGTTTCTTACCAGATCCTTCTTCAGACAGAGCATCTCCCCAGCGCTCTTCCTGCAAGGCTTTGCGAGATGTGGCTTTTCCTATGTACCTTTTATCAGCTTCCAGGAGAGAAGCTGAAGCTTTTTTCCGTATATTGCCAACAGGTAAAATGTCATCTGCAGCTTCATCCTCAAATTTGTCAATCACTTTAGCAACTGTAGCTGTGGAGAGGAAAAAAAAAACAGGAGGAAAAAGGAAGGTCTAAACTAAACTGAATTTCAAACTAGAAAAACTAACTACAAAGAGCAGCCATCCTTCTCAAAGGAAAACTTGAAAACTCTCCTCAGGCTCTGCAAATAAAAATGTGCTGCAAGGCCAGGCTGGATGCAGAGAGCTTCTCATAGCACTTCGGGATCTAGGGAAAGATTTCTTTACCAACTTCTCAGGTGAAGAAAGGCCAGCACTGTAATTCTATGTGATGAGAGGGAAGGTTGTTGGGCAATCAAAGGCAGCGCGAATGTCTCAAAGCTGGACTTTGTTTGGGTCAACACTAGACCTGTCTAGAAACTACTGAGTAATATATATTTGTGCATATATATATATATATAGTGTATCTATGCACAGAAATACGCAATCATTTTAAAATGGCTAAGCAGAGAAAAACAACTTTGCAATGATTATTATTGCCCTTCATACCCTTCATACCCAGGACACAGGAATGAAGTACTCCACCCAGGAGGACTCCCATACCATATTTCCTCCTTATTTTCATTCATGTGTGAGACCCCCTCTATGCAAAATTACAGGGTTAGGATTGTTCACCCAATTGAGCAATCCAACTGGCTGCACATCGCTAAGTGCTCATTTTAATGTGTGTTTGCAAATGTTAATGCCTCCCATATATTGCTTACTTGCGGGGGGGACGTTTTTAAAGCCACCAAGGATGGGGCCTCATTTCATCAACAACGAACACAGAGCTTCAAAGCGGCGAGAGAGAAACCAGGGGCCTCCCGCGATGGCTCGGACAGAGAGTCGGAAACACGCGGGCAACACGCATCATTTTTAGGACTTTTACTCTTTTTAGATGGAGATGCTGCGCACATGATGTCTTCCCTGTGCCCACGGTGAAGCCCCAGCTCTGAGAAGCCTCCTGCACTGGGAGGCCCAAGGTCCTATATGTTGGACAGGGAGGCCCAAGGGAGGCCCAAGGGAGGCCCAAGGGAGGCCCAAGGGAGGCCCAAGGGAGGCCCAAGGGAGGCCCAAGGGAGGCCCAAGG